TTCATGCAATATCTTTTTCCGTGATACAATCTTTTTCTCGAGTTCATTCAATGCATTTGGGTGAAATAGAACATTGGTGTGGATGTTAGACAAATTAAGGGATTTCATCATAAATTCGTATAAAAAATAAAAGTTAACTTAAATTTTATCAATTATGTAATTAAATTGTTTTACATGACATTAATGTTAAAAATAAATTTTATTTTTATAATTTTTCATATAAATTAATTGTGAAAATGTGTAATATTAATAAACATACTTTTAACTTATGTTTTAATGATACATGTTAAAAAAAGCTTTTATATACATACATACATATATATATATACACTTCGCCAAGGTTTGACGTTGAGGTTGGGTTAACTTAAATTGCTAATCTGTTTTATTATAGAACAATGTAACAATAGCTCATTGGGTTTGGTGGGATTCGGACGCAGTTTCAAATTTTTAGGGTCGCTAATCCCTGCTCTTTCCTATTTAGCGTTTTAATAGTATTCTTATTTGCTTTCTTATAAAAAAAAAAAAAAAAGGGGACTTCGCCAAGGTTTGGGTATATTGTTGTCATGTTACAAGCAAATGACAACGATTGGAGACACCAGGTCCTCTCAACAATATTAATGATGCGTTTTAGTTGTCTTAATGATTTAAGTTGTGTTTGATATAGTTGTGATTTTTTGTTTTTAATTTTTTTTAATAAATTTTGTAATTATTAAAAATTAAAATAAAAAAACTAATAAAATGTTATAAAGTGAGGATTATTTTATTCAATTTTAATATATGAGGGGTTAAAGGTGCATTACTATAAAGTGAATGGTTAAAATTTATAAATTTAATAAAATAAAAAATTAAAATATTATAATATAATATAATAGATTAAAACTTTAAATTTGATAAAATAATGAGCTAAAAATAAGATTTTAGCCTATACAGACGAAAATTCAATAATTATAAATGGACTTACAAATTACGGGAACGAAAGAAAGCAGACTCTGGTCTAAAGAGCAATGCTAGGGGCACTCGCCTCTGCACTCTCCCGTCAACACTTTCTCTTTTATTGGGCCACGTTATTTTGGTTTCCGAGAAGTTCCCCTGAAACCTTTAAAGAAGCTTACGTGGCCCAATGAAAGGGGAAGTGTTGCCGGAGAGTGTGAAAAGCGAGTGCCCCTAGTACTGCTACTTGTCTAAAAGAATCGAGCAGTGCTAGTGACAGGTTAACGCCATTGTGCCAGTGTACGTGAGGTTACGGTATTGCGTAACAAACCACGTCAGCCACAAAGTACAATGATTTCATAAAAAAATCCTTTTTTTGACCATGAATTTTTTTTAACAGAATAATATTGTTTCTTTTTTTGGTGCATGAATCATATTGTTTTGAAAGAAAGAAAAATGAGGATTAAGAAAAAGGAATCTATAAGAGTTGAAATTGTAATTTATGAAAATGATTTTATAATTTAAAATCAATATCACTAAACCGCAGCGGAAGATGTTTTCATAATAGATTTTGACCATGAATCTAGACATTGTTGAATTTGTGGATAAATCAAAACAAAACAAACAGATAGAAGTTGGAAATTCAGTACTCTAGTCTGCAGTAGATGTGGTCCAAAACGCCTTCCGATCCATACGCACACCACGCCACCCCAAAGAGGTTGGACTTTGACTGTAACGTGTAGACCGTAGACCCGGCAAACAAGTTGGAATCGTTTTGATGTGATCTCGTTTCATTTGGTTTGTTAAAAAAAAAAAATTTATATTACAAAATATGTTTTTAAAAAATATTACTTTTTGGAATATAATAAAAAAAATTTATTGAAATTTTTTTCTATTATTTAGTTAGCAAAATGAAAATCTTAAAATTTCCAAAAATTAAGGGACAAGAGGATTAAATTGGATAAAAAATTTGTTAAAACAGATTATACATCTAAGTTTTGTTAATTTTATTTTTTTGAACAGGGTACAAATGTGGGGGTAGGGGTTTGATCCCAACCTAGAGATTGGGGATGCACTTTCAAAAAGATTTAAAACTATCAGGCCAGTAGGCCCAAATGCACGTTTTGTTAATTAATTCCAAAAAAAAATTAAAATAAAAAGATTATTAAACCCTTCAACTCTATAACAATTAATCAATCAAAGAAAATATCATTTGTTGGCCTCCTGGCTTCTTCCCCTTTGCTTTTCTTTATGACACTAGTGAACCGGCGTCAGTAATCGACATCATATAATTTATTAAAGTTACCAAAAGTTTTAAAGGATGTTTGAATTAATTATTTTGATACAGTTGATATTTAAGAATAATTATTTAATAATTATTAATAAACATTATTTATAGAACCCGACCTCCGGGTCTTAGTAGTTCGCTCCAAACCTCAAAGTGTTTGGTTTGTTAGTTGATGTTTTGAATCTTATCAACACCTTGAAAATCTCATTCTCTTCTTTCCAAATTATACAATGTTAAAAAAAATAATTATTTATAATTTTAAATATTTAAATCCTTCGACTAAAACTACCAACTAATAATTGTTCCCTAGTTTCTAAACCGAACACTCTCTTAAATTTTTTCTTTATAATTA